ATTTTGCTATGGAAACAAAATATGAATATTTGTTGCCATAGCAAAATAATGCTAAAATTTTCTTTTTTACAATTAAATAGTCACGTTTACTTTAATTAAATAAAACAAAAAATAGCAATTTAATGTTGTTTTTGCTAATTTTATTAAAGAAAGTTTTGTCTTACTATTCTTCTATTTAATTTAATGAAGTGCCTATGTGGCAGATTGAAAGTATATATATATATAGGCACATAAACAAAGTATTTGTAGAAATAGTACATTTTGAAGGAAAATAGTACATTTTTTGTAGGAGCTTCGGTATGTTTTGAAATTTCATTGTGGCAATGCTGACTCTATTAGGCGTTTGTTAGGCAGTTGCGAACGAAGAACTTCACTGCTGCTAAAAGTAGGCTACGTGCTCTTTGCCGTCGGCTGCAAGCATCAATGAGAAACGCTTTGCCAACCGCTTTTCCTGAACACTTTCGCTACAGCTTACAGTGACAGGTCGGATGTTTATAAAATTGGCAGGAGTCAATTTGCAAATAATAAGTACGTACACGGCTATCGCACTCTGACTGTAATGAAGTGCAAGCGATCAATAGATATTTTGGCTTATTTTGATACTTCTTGTTACACTGATGTAAGGACATTTTAACATGCTAACAAGCTACAAGAAATAATTTGTGGCATATGTTACAATAAAGAAATTTTCCATCTGTTTTAAATTTCTAAGACCCAAACTCCTGTACATACTTTCTTACTGGTTGCAATTCAGTATTAGTTTTTACTGTTTACCCATAATGTTGAACTGGACTTGATATAACAGAATCTTTTCTACACATATTCCATATGCAAAAGTTTGCTTTACTCATGAGAAATTATCTCCCTTATACTGTTATTTAGTTAATCGTTATATTAATATTTGATTTTTTGAAAGATTTAAATTTAACATTATTAAATTAGAAATGAAATTATGCTCTAGCAACAGTTTAATGATATAAGATTGTTTTCAACCAAGTTTATAGATCTTTATCAGTTGAGCATTTGAACTTAGAAAATTTTTGAACAAAAATAACATTCAAAATACAAAATAGAATAAATATACAAATAAATATAGAACAATTATTAATATAAAGCAATTTCTCCATTGAAGTTCTCTATTTGTGAAGTTTAAAAATGAAACAGATATCAGCATGAGCTGAAAAAGAAAATAACAGACAACTCAGTAATATCTTTTTGTGTGTATAAGTCAAAAGTTGCAAAAAAATCCATTTAAAATAAACAGTGACTTCTTTGCTAAAAATGTATTATATTATATTCCAAAATAAAATTATCAAGCTGTCTATATGCAATAAGTATTAAATGAAAGATCTTTTTAGACTGCAAATTTTAAAAAACTGTTCAATTTTACTTATGTAATTGTAAATACAGAAAAATATGTACTATACCTTATACCTATATGGTAGAAACTTTTTACTAAAATGGTGTTCCAGTACATTTTAATTCAAATACACCACTGATAGTTCAGTGGGATTTTTTCTAGTGGGATTCTGCCAATATTTTAAACACATAGGTCTATGTGGTTTGTATATGTTACCGTGAAAGACCGAAATTAGAGAATGTTGATATTCTACAGTGAATGTCGACACATACAAAATATGTTGGTGAAAGACCGAATACAGTGGTGCCTCGTATAACGTACGCCTCGAATAACGGACTTTCTGTTTGACCGTTACGTGACTCGAGCAACAGACTTGCTGCGAACAACGGACTTTCCGTTTGGCAGTTACGTGAGACGAACAATGGACTTTTTTCGAACAAGTGTGAATGATGTTTCCACTCTTTGCCGTTGCCAATGACAATCTGCTATTTTAGGATATATTAGTATTATTAGAATGTATTATTAGTATATCTGAAGTAGAAATGTAATGTAATATACTGTATGTTGATAATTTAAATAAACATTAAATGTAATGTAATATATGTTGACGATTCAAATAAACGAAATGTAATTGTGTAGATGCCGAGGTGGCGGGACGAAAAGAGGTTGTAAAAAACAAACGGAGCGAGAGTAGCTCGTAGAAGTGTTTAGTGATCTTAATTAATAAAGAATTATTCGTATCATATAATCTGGCAAGTTAAGTCATTTATAATGCATCATGGCTTCTAAAAAAAACAGAAAGGTGATTTCAATTGAAACAAAGCAAAAAATCATCAGAAGTAAAAGTTGACAAAAACTTTCTTGTCGAATGGGGAGAGGTTCAGGAGTTTACCAACACTCATTATCCAAACAGAGCTGAGGCCAACAGGATCAATGATCTCTACGATGACACCTTTGCCCGTAATTTCCGACAGGTGTTAAAGAAGAAAGAGAAACAGGCCACCTTGGTCATGTTTTTCAAGAAGCAAGCTGCCAAAAAACAAAGGATGGAACAAGAGAAGTTGACCCTGCAAGTTCCGGTAGCCTCTCCTGAATCTGACTCCGATTAAAAAACAATAAAAAAAGACCCGCTGCAATGTGTAAAAAGTCTGTATCTGTATGAATGTGTAAAGAAAGTGTTCTTCCACCTCCTCCTCACAACATCTGACTACCCGGCATAATTGGCGTCTGCTCCATTTTCATTTTTTATGGTACAGTACGGTTATTTTATGCTGCGGAACGAATTATATGTTTTAACATGTATTTATATGGGAAAATGCGTTTCATATAACGGACTTTTCACTTAATGGACGTGCACCTGGAACGGATTAAGTACGTTGTACGAGGCACCACTGTATTTGGCTATATTATTATACATTCGAACAATCGCCGGTGTATGTCAACAAGCACAGATAAGCTTTGGTGGAGGTTGAAACGACACCTGAGAAACCGA